AGTGTGTTAAAGAAATCCTAGCTGAAGGCTACCCATTTTCCCCACTGACTTGTAACATGTAGGTGGTAACATCGCACTGTAGACATCTGCCACAGAAATACAAAGATTAGTGTGAATAAAGCAGGAATGCAGAAGTTGTGAAATCATGAGAAGAAACAGAAGAACAAAGATGCATCAATCTGCATCTATCAAGATGCACAAGGTCAGCAGTTCGTCAGTCCCACGGTGCTCTGGTTGTGTGGTTTTTCTCAAAAACCAGGTTAGAAAGAAGGCAAAGAACAAGCTGAAACCATATGACAAGAAAATAGAGATTCCCAGTCAAAACAAAATGATGGGGTTTGACTTAGCAATTTCATTAAGTTTTACCTGTTACATTACCTTCAGCTTTTGTATAAAGTTTAATGACTTAAAATATTTGAAACCAAACACTGATCCTGCTCATTTGTAGGTATCACTTTAGAGTAGGGGCTGACTTTTCCTGCTCATTCCAGAGGAACAGGTGATGTGAGTTTTCACAGCAGGGACAAGGTTTCTTCTGGCATCTCAGGAATGGATCTTACTCAAAGCCCTGTGCCAGTTCTCAGTTATCAATGTTCCTTTGGAGTGAGATGCATACATATGCCTTGTTAGAGCCCCTTTCTTTATTCTGTAGCTTAGCCCAGCAAACTGCTTCATCACTTCTTCTGCATCTTGTTAAGAGTGATCTCCAGTCATATGCACCGGCTCCTTTGTTTTACTATTTTTGCAATAAACAGCTCATGCAAATTCCCTGGGCTTTTTGTTTTGCATGAGACAAGGCACAAATCTCCTCTGACTATGCCTTTTTGCCATCTATTTATCTTCTGATGGTGCACATAGCTGCTGTCTTGCTCTTGCACCTGTATCTTTCATATGTGCATGTGTGAACATCTGTCTAGATGTCAGACTGTCAGTCACACTGACCTGATTTCCATGTAAATGTAATGCTGATGTTTTCATCTATGCTTTGATAGTTTCACGTGCTCTGATCATTTAAATTAATTTCAGTAATAAATTATCCTCTAATAGAATATATTATACCGAATATTGCACATCATACATATAAATACTGAATAAAATTATTCATGTATTTCTTTGAGTTCAATCCCATTATGACTCCAGCCTTCAGTCTGTCATGCTCTTGGCATGGGGAGTGCCTGCTTTCAGAAAAGTGAGGTCACCTCACTGGCTTGCTCACTCCCTGGAGCAGTTAACCTGCTCGGCTTCCTTTTTGTGATTTATGCCTTGGTTTAGGGATGGAGAGCTCAGAAATCTCCTTGCACCAGCAGCCATGGTCCCCTTCACCGTCAGCCTACCCAGCTGCATCTCGTACCAGCACTTGGTCTCTGCAGTCAGATACTGCATCTAATTTGCTAACTCCTCTTAACATGATGGTTAGCTCCCAGTTCCAACTTCAGGTTTTGTTACCATCAATGCAACTTATTCTTTTGGACCTCATTCCTCCCTTCTCCCCATACTTTTTGTTGAATAGTCCATTGAATAATTCAAGCAGGTCTTTCCCACATCAGACTTGCTGGTTATTGAGATTTCTAAGGTAAGGAATAAGTAGAGAAAAGAAAAAGAACTGAAGAAAAATGTTAATAACAACCTAAAGATGGCTGTAATAATAGAATCACAAAATCACACAAAAATATTTAACTGGCAAGGGACATGAGGAGGTCTCCAGTCCAATCTCCTGCTCAGAGCTGAGTTGACTCTAAAACTACAATATGTTGCTCGGGGCCTTGACAAGGAAACTTCTAAACATCTCTGAGGGTGGAGATTTCCTGCCATCTCTTGGCACCTATTCCATTGCTGAACCACCTTCTGTGGGAAGAAAGTTTTCCTTATATCTGGTCAACATATCCCTGCTGCAACCTATGGCTGCTGTCTTTTGTTCCTCTCCTATGCACATCCAAGAAGCATGTGGCTCATTCTTCTGAGTAATATCCTTTAGATAACAGGAGACTGAAATTACATCCCACCTTGGCTCCCTTCTCCCTACCAAACCCAGCTTTCAATCTCTCCCTGTATGTCATGTGCTCCAAACTCTTCACCATCCCACTAGCCCTTCATTGGACTCTATACAGTTTGTTGGCATCCTTCTTGTACTGGGGACTCAAAACTGGAGCCTGTATCCTAGATGAGCCCTCAGGTGTGCCAAATAGAGGGAAATAATTACTTTACTCTACTTCCAGCAGAGCTGGCTGTGCTCTTGCTAATGCAGCCCTGCATGTGTTTAGCTTTAATCCCTCCAAGAGTGATGATAACCCACCATAGAGAAGTAAAAAAGCACAGAACTCTTGGCAATATAAACAGCTGCAGCCTCATGAATGCCAGAAACCTAGGGATGAATAAAATGAAATGTTTATAACCAAACTCTAGGGGCACGCTGCAGATGGATTCTTTGCTGAAACACAGGGCTCTGTTGACTTTACTAGTGAGCCTCCACTTTGCTGCACTGAAGGATAGTGGGAGCAGACTAGGAACATGGGTCCTATCCACTGAGGTCTGAAAATCAACCATTATTTACAGAGCATTTGGGTCTTCCAGGGTAACCTCCCTTGGCAGTGACAGCATTTCCAGCCCTGCGGTCCACAGCCGGAAGAAAGTTCCCACAGCAATGGAGTCATGCAGCACAGGGGTGAACGGCATGCTTGCTGTCTTCTTGGTTCTGCATCTGGGTGAGTCCTTGGCTCAGCAACCCCTCATGGTTCTTACAGTCTTTTCACAAGCCTCACAACATTTGGGGTGTTTCTAGGCTCCTCCCAATTTGCCATATAACATCTCTCACACAGTTTAGCTTTGGGACTCAGGTTGTTCCCAGCCCATCTGTTGAGCCTGCCAGCCAAAACCAGGGAGCATCACCAGGTTCAGGGAGCTGCCCTGTAGAGATGTAGGAGTGGGGTTCCTATAAGAACCAGGATACACACTGAGTACTGAATGAAAAACACCACCCTCCAGCCGTCTGGGCAAAAACGTGTTTCTCACATGTAATCCTACCAGCTTGTTTAGTTTTACTGCTAATGTTATAATGTTTGGTGGACTTTTTGGTGCTTATTTTCCTGGAAAGGAAGGACATTGAACAAGGCCAAGCCTGCATTTCTCAGATACTCAGCTTTGATTCCTCTGGTTGCAGAGGAAAGACTGGAAATCTCTTATGCACCCTAGAACCAAATGAAAAGCAAAAGATACCAACTCTTGTTAAATAGCATTTCTAATTTCACAGTTTAAGACAAAATCATAAGCTTCTGTAGTCCAATGTGCAATTATCAAAAATCTGTATTGTTGCAGTTTACCTCTTGGAGGAATGTAACTTTTGGAAAACCATACATTAAACTCATGTAAACTTTTTATTTTACATTTTTGTGGCTCCCTAGGGTCACCTGGGGGATCTGCAGGTTAAGCATCTCTGAGAGTTTACCAGCAGTGAGGCAGGAGACTACAATCCCTTTATCCCCAATCTTACCTCTGGAAAGTCCATCTCCTTCTTATGGTCTCCTGCAGAAGCCCTCTTTACAGTGAAGGAAAGGAAGCAATTCTCCCAAGAAACAACTCCTAATGTTTCTTCCACCTTATATGTCCTATTTCGTACACTGTCACATAGGCCTCACAGGAATCTCACATTAGGCCAGCCTTCGTTATTTCTTTTTTACTTCATCTCTTAATTTTCCTTGGTTTTCAGTCTTTTTCCATGCAAAAAATGAAAGAAGGGGTGAGCAAATTTGTCAGTGCTGTGTCAAGTCTTGACTGGGGAAGAGGAGGACTGACATATGCTGTGAAGGAGGGCTGACATATGCTGTCCTGCCTTTGCTACCAGCAGAACAACTAAGTCTTGTCCAGTGGAAAGGGGTTGTCTCAGTAAAATTGTTGACATTTCAAAATCGTGAATGATGGTCAGTCCACCACAACTACTGGCATTAGCCAGGAAAAGAGCCTAAAGTGGAGGGGAGGGAAGCTATGGAGCTGAAAACAGAAGAGATTGATTGATTGATCGATTGATGAGATAAAGGAGTGAAAAGTTCAGAAATTGAGGATAATCTTCCCAGTGTCTGTGAAAGGGAGAAGAAATATCTACATCTTTCTGGAGGGATGGGAAGTGTTCACTGAGACACCTTTCAGAAAGTGAATGTATGCCTTTTTTTGGCGGGTATTGACTTTCAGGTCTGATCTCCAGTATGGCTCAGCAAATTGAACAACAGATTGGGATCGCAGGACAGGAGGTGACCCTGCCCTGCAAAGGCATTTCTTCTGCCTCCCCTTACAGAGTTGTGATCTGGACGTTCTTTGATGCTGTTGTAGGGCATATGGAAAATAATATCCATTGGAAAAGTAAGGCTTCCAATTCATCACCCCGTTTTCCCAGATATGGCTGAGAAACCTCTTCCCTCCTAACCAAGCCTATTTTTTAAAAGAACCAGGTGCCGATAGTCAATTTGAAGTCATGAGCACAAATAAAGAGCTGAAGGTGCGGAACCTTGTGCTCTCCAACGCTGGCATTTACACCTGTAAATATGGCTCTTACAAAGTCCGTACCTCACTGCATGTCTTCAAGTGTGAGTGATTAGAGGGCTTTTATCCAAAAGGAGGGGAGGGGGCCATAGAGCTCGGGGAAACATCTCTGTGGAAATTCTTTATCCAGCTTCTATTTCTTCTGGCCTGGGCTATCATAGTTCATTTATCTTCCATCTCCATGGTGCAAAGATTTCATATTCTCTTTGCTGTGACACTTGTGTCCCTCTCTCACAAGAAGAGGAGTTGTCTTACTGGCTAAGCTTTTTTCTTTTTACAGTGACAGTGTCTTTGGATGGGCACTTTCTGCAAAATGAAGTCCCTGAGCTGACTTTAATGCACAATTCACCTGATCCTAAACCCACTCTCAGCATCACATTGTTTAACAGTAACAATAACATAGTAACACCAGAAACAGAAAACAAATCCCCTCAAAAATGCATATTGAATTTGAAGAAACTGGAAGCTACGGACAGCGGGACCTGGGTGTGTAATGTCCGTTCAGACTCTCCACTGATTAATCAGAACATCTCCTTTGCTGTGAAGGTATTAGGTATGTGACAACAAAAATGCAACTCACGCACAGGCTCGGGAACCAGTGTTCCCTCCAGCTCATGAGCTGAGCTTTTTCTTTCCAGCATCCCAAGCACTGGTGCTCCAGTGTTGATTTCCCAGGGCTTCCAACACTGCAGCTTAGGGATCACTTTACTGCCTGAGCTATGTTCCACACTTGTGCCCATTTTCCTCTCCAGGTACAGTGAGGAGAAGATTCTCCTCTCCTTGAGATCTCTTCTTCTTAGTACTGGCGTGTTTGGGAGCTTTAGCTCTTTCTACTGTGTTATTCTCAGACATTAACTGTTTAAGCTTCCTGGGGGATGTTGTAGCTTTTCTCCAAGTCCTCTTTCAACTGAGCACAGCATGCCTCTCTCTAGATCAAAGGTAAATGGGGAGAAGTGTAACCATGGTTTTTCCTGCCTCTGTATTTCTCATCTCCTCTGAATTCAGGTTTTCAGGATCTAGATATGGAAAGAAAGTATGCAATTGCTGACAGCACTGTCATCTTGTCATGGCATCTGAACTTCCAGAAGATAAAATGGAATAAAGGTTTCACAGGACAAGTGAACTGGAAACAACAGGAAAGTGCAAAAGCTCATGAACTGCTTGATTTCAACGTCACAGCACTAGGAGAGCAGCACGAGACCAAAAAAAGCAGCCACTTTCTGTTTGAGATACCTGAAAGAACACCTAAAAGTACCATACAAGTGAAACTCTCCAAAGTCCATTTCAACCATTCTGGGCACTACCAGTGCCAGTTGGCATACAAAGGAAGACACGTGCAGAGCAACATAGAGCTGGTTGTGATGAAAGGTGAGAGGAAGAGAAGTAGGTCAATAGATGAGGAGCTGCAGAAACCTGGAAGCCACAAGAGCAGGGGGGACCCATCTTCCCATCCTCTCACTCACATGTTGTTTTCTTGCTTTTACAGTCTCAGCTAACCCTGTTGGGCCACTCTCCAGAGGGGCCAATATGACTCTGATCTGCGAGGTCTCTGGTCCACTCCCACCCAAAGCCCACTTGCGCTGGGAACGTGTGAATGGGACTCAGATGGACATCAAGAACTCAAAGCAGGATGAAGTAAAGTTGGAGGTGAACATCAGTGCTGCAGGGCTGTGGAGCTGTCACCTCATAGAAGACAATGACAGAAAGATCAGCCTTCATTACCACGTGGGTATGGAAATTAGCATCACATCCCTGCCTCAACCCTAAAGCCTTAAAATTCTCTGGTTTTGCCTCTAAATATTTTTCTTTCTCCACAGAGGAAGCTCCTGTTTGGATTAACTATGTGGTAACTGGAACAAGTGTTGGAGGCAGTGTATTGGTGTTTGCTTTTGTGTGTCTGTGCATCATCAGTGGTATAAGCTGGCAGCGGAGAAGGGTGAGTGCCCTGGTCCATGTGAAAGTTGAAGAGACTACTGTCTCTCCAAACCACAGGAGGAGTTGGATTTCCTGTCTGGGCATAGAGTAGAACAGATAAAGGGTCAATCCTTAGACTCAAAGCAAATGGTTAGAGGTGGGCAGTCTGCAGATGTAAGATGGCACTTTATTACCACTTAAGAGGAAAGCATTTGAAGCATAAAAATATCCAATTGTTCTTTATCCCTTCTCTCCTGGCAGCAACGGGCAAAAAGGATGGCACAAGCAAGACAATACTTGCTGGAAAACAAGACGTGTCAGTGTCAACAGTAAGTGGCAATGAGGGCACCCAGAATGGGCAAAGAGTGTTTTCAAGACAGAGGAGCCTAATGGTTGAGTGGAGAGAAATTGAGCTTGAGCCTCCTTGGTGAAGCAATACAGCTGCATTTCAGCATTTTCAGTTCTTACTGATGTAAAATCCTACCTAAGATTTATGAGATATGTTTAATGAATTTCCCATTATAACCCAAACCCATGGCAGCACAGTGCTAGGAAACTTTTGAGCAGAGAGGTTTCACTTGAATTTTCTTCATGTTGAGAGATGTTAACCAAAACCAAGCAGGTGCTCCAAAGTCCTTTGATAGGTTCCACAGTGAATCTGGGATCTGGAGGTGAAAAGCACACAACCAAGCACAAGGATGAAACACCAATTTTAAAAAACCATGGTGTCCATAACGTAATTCCAGCTCTGCTAGTGCAGTGCTGGACTGCAGTCGGTGAAAATTGCCAATAACCCTGCAGGAGTAATGAAAGAGAAGAAAGAATCACGGAACACTGTGATTCATACCCTTTCCTAAAGCGTTGGATGATGTGAAATACACCATCATGTCCTGACCCTTTTCATTGGTGCAAGGATTTCTCAGCAGAGAAGGAGCCCTCTTAAAGGCCTTCCAGGTCTTTAAGCTTATATGGTTTCAGGCATCAGAAGCAGGTGTTGGAAACACCGATAGCCATTCTGTCACTGGAAGAGGAGAGCTAAGGACAGTACAAATGATTGCATGAACAAGTTCAATTAATGTATGGGTACATCACTGGACTTCTGCTTATTTTCACGGGTGACACTGGCAAACTGATAGTTTCATCTGATTTTTTTCACTGTCACTGAGAATTCAGTGAAAATGTTTATTGGCAAATACCACATCACAGCTGGGATGTACATGTGGTGAAAGGTATAATACGTCAAAGAATTCACCTTGTTTTCACCTACCTTTTATCAAGGTTAAAAAAAATCCCCATGAAAAGAGGACAAAGCCCATAGAGATGCATCAAAAACTAGATAAATCTGTGCAGTACAAGTGCTGATACAGTTGTTCTTTAACTCTCTTTGCCAAGTAAGCAGCTCAGTGTAACTGAAACCTAAATCGCAGCCATGTGAATGCTCAAGTAACTGTCTGCATCCTCAGCTACAGAGGCAGGCAGGCATTCTCTATGCAAAAAAAGTGGGGGGTAGTACTAACACAATACTTTTCTCTTGCAGCTGGCTAAAAAAGTAATATTGCGGCACTGAAGTCAGAAGGACTGATGAAGCCTCTGCCTGTACCTAAACACCTGGCAGCCCATAGTGCTCCATGAATCCATCTCTCTTTCTCCTGTTTTAATGTAATTCTTTATTCTTTCATCATTCTCCCAGTCTAATGCCATGAAGGGATGCACTCTGGCTAGGAGCCAATGGACAGGACGAGAAACCTTGAAGGGTTACGAGTGATCTGCAGTTGTATAATGAGAGACACTGAATAGAAGAGATACATATATACAGATATATAATATGCTTGTATTTTGTTCATGCACTTAATTTGACCTTCTCGTGGAACCAATTTTATGTGCTTCTTTTATCTGCCTGAGCGACAATAAATTACTTTAGGGCTGGGAGTTATTTTTTGCAAGCTGGACTACATTTTTTCTGAGGCACTCTTGTCTGGTTCAAATTCACATTTTTCCTGCTAGGATGTGGAATGCTGATTCTCACTATCTCCCACCTCCCCGGCTGTCACGAGCCTTCCTTAATGCACCAGCTCTCTGCTTTATGTGAAACCTGTCCATACTCATTTGCCTTTCCCGGACAGTCTGAGCCCTACACTACCCCACATATCCATCCCTGAGCTTGTAGCTTTTGCCTCTCCCACCACAAACCAACAAACAAGTGAAAACAGCACAAGCAGTGGGATAATTAAGAATTAGTTTTATTGGGAGGGCAGTTCAGCACACCAGTAGCTTCTGGAAGTCAGAGCCTGAAGAAATTCTGAATATTGATCTGGAAGGTAGGTTTGGGATGGGGGTGAGAAAGTAATTTCCTAGGAGAACAAACCAGCTGGACTGAGTAATCCCACAGAGTACAGAGAACAGATGCTTCTGAGACAGACGCTGGAAATGCCTTCTCACCAAAATGACCCTTTTTTTGTTCAAGGAGTTGAGAAGAGGGAGTGAAAAGCCCAGGAAATTTAAGATGGAACTAAAAGCATGTTGCAGAGATGACAGAACATCCTAAAAGAAAAAATGCTGTTCAAATATGTACACAGAAGTCTTGTGTTTATAGAAGTTATTCTACTGTCTGCTAGTGGCAGGTCAAAAAGGCCTTGAGGTCCAACAGATGTCACTGGCCGCAGTCCAGGTTTGTTCATCTGTGCTGGGCTTATCTGGGGAGAGGCACAGAGGGGCACTGGGCTATGGGAAGGGTTCCCCGTGGCAAAGACTTCCCCATGGGATGCTCAGTGCTGGAGGAGGGGTTTTCTCTGTGGCAGTCACGCCAGCATCATGCTGTTACTGACAGAGAAGAAGCAGGTGGCAACAACAGCAGAGACAACATCTGTGAGTCGGGGGAAATCTTCCTCCCCACAACCCCATTTCTGCTCTGGAGTGGAGATGCAGCCCCAGGCAGCTGTGGCAGCAGGTGTGGGCCAACACTGGTGTCATGCTGGCTCCTCCACCATCATCTTCACACAAACGAGAGTGATGAAGGCCCACACTAATGCCATTTTCTTTCTCATAGCTTGTGCTTATGTGCACAAGACTATGTTAATTTTGGAAAAGGTCTGGTCCATATCCTGGTGCATGCAGTTGCTCCTCCTACTGCTGTCCCTCTCCCTGAACTGCCAGCATACCTTAGGAGCCAGTTGCAGCCCATCAATCTGCTAAACAAGGCATCATCATGGCTTAAGGACAGGCCCATTTGGGGAGCTGTATAAGGGAAAATCAACGCAGCGTCAGTGGTGGTCAATATAATGGTCACGACAAACTGCTTGGCATAGTCCCCTCAACAAAAACCAACCTCTGTTTCTGCAGTCCAGATCCTTTGCCTTAAATAACTGCTTGAGTACCCAAGTCAGCTCTTTTATTCACTCACACAGGTGTCTGCAGCAAAGGGATTATCCTGTATCACCTGATATCTGGGTGGGACAAATCACGCTGGGTGAGCATCCATTGGGAGCTCCTCCAGCACTGCAGCCATCTCCAGCAGTTCAGGCGCTCACTTGGGGTCCTGGCAGCTGAACCAACCGTCCCTGTGCCAAAAAACACCAGCTTTGATCTTTTCAGTCAGAGAATCAGCCTGACAATAAAAGACTAAACTAATAGGGCTTACCTGGCCTCCAGCACAAAGTCCATCAAACCTGGCCTGGCCAGGATGAAACACCTGGGTAGCAGAGAATGCTGGCACTGGTGGTTCAGAGCACAAAGGTGCCTGAGCTGCCTGACAGTGCTGCCCCCAGCTGTAAAAGCCAGGAGGCAACCTCAGTCCTCCTCTTTTCCAAGGGCTGGAAGAGGCACACTGAGTCCCCACAAGTGACCAAAGGTTGTGTCCCCATTCACAGCTGGGACCCACCTGCAATGAATGCTCTGTCTCACATCACCGCCACAGATGCAGAAGGTCCCTCCATCTGTTTCCAGGTGGCCTGGTTAGCATGACAGCAGATGGGATGGTGCCACTGGGATGCCTGTAAGCGCACAGCCATATCCACAGATGCACAGCTTCCAGTTCTCCCATCTGGATGAGTGCAAGGAAAATTACAGGCCTTCCTCAACACTGCACAGTTTCTCAGTAGGTCTCCTATCTCAACAGTTGTGACTCTGCCCTACTCTACTTGAAATTCACCTGTAAGTACAAACCACTGTAGGCTCCAATGTTATAAATCTCCTTTTTTGGCAGCTCTCCTGTCTGTATCTTTTCACATGATGACCTTCTTTGTTCCCTAGATGCACAGGCTGCCCTGATTGAGAGAAAAGTCATTCACAGAGTGAGTCCTAGATGGGCTTTCCTTTCTATCCAAGTGCAATACTGAAAGCTTCAGTGTGGGCTTCAAGGCAGTACAGAGCTAGAAATTCAAGCCAGATAAGAACAAGCTTGCACAAAATGTGTCGATGTAGATGAGTCTCCAGTTGGAGTGGACTGTGGTTACATCTTGCCCAGGCCAGGGCTTTACAGGCTTTCTTCCATGTATCCTGACGACTTCTCCCTTTGCTAGGTGTGACAAGGGTGTATCTACACTATGCAATGGAATAATACCTCTGCATGATGCAAACCACAGAGATAATACAACTCTGCAAAGCAGCAAACACAATGACAGACATATTTTGTCATGTGGCGACAGCTCATCAGAGTAGCCCTGAGATGATGGCAGGACTCAGAAAGGCATACATGGCAATACTTACAAAATGACAACAGCAGCAAGAGCTCTGTGTACTGATGGGGAAACGTGACAGAAAGCACGAGTTTGGGAAAAAAATGAGAAATGCTGGTTTTCCCTACCATGTCCGTCTTTCTGGTACTATTATTCCCCACGTTTCTGGGCTGCAGAAGGGAAAAAGCACATGCTTCAGTCTTTTGAACACACCTCCAAAGCACGGTCCTCTGTCAGGACCCACAGACCTGCTTGCTCCGGTGGAGGGAGGGGCTTGGACACAAGGATATAGCACCCTGTCCAGTTCTGCTGATCTAGAAACATGTGGGCTGAAATAACCCCGGCCCACAGCTCTACCTCCGAAAGCCCCTCCTGCTTCCCTGTTTATTTCTGCCCTTTGAGTGCAACGTGAGGCAGTGATTTGGTGGATGCTGTCAGCCCGGATCTGCCGAGGCAATCCATGTGACTCATGCTCCCCGCAGGCTCTGCAGCAAAGCACTCGCATCCCTCAGCCTTCAGAGCCAAATGACCCTGTGTGTTTCTTTGCATGTTCCCAAGGTCTACAAGGGAGAAATCTGTGTACTTTGGCCTCTTCTAACTCCTTTTTATTTTGGAGGGGTGCAGAAGGAGGAGAACAGTACTCAGCATCCATTTGAAAGGCTTATCAGCCTAATGAAGCTACAGAGAAAGAGTAGCCTCCATCCACCCTTCTCAAAGGTAAGGGTAGAGCTGGAGTACCAGACCCTTCCAGGATGCTCAGCTCTGGACTGGTTCCTTTCTGAGAGTACTCCCAAGTGTGTGTTTACTAGGAGGGAGCCCTGGGTTCATTAGTGTACTCACCTCTGAGCAACACCTCCAAACCACAGCCTCTGCCTCACGTATGTCAGAATCCTTCCCTGGCATCCCCTCTGAAGAAGCCTTTGGCTCTCCTCCTGTTCATTTGCTAGCCAGCTTGGCCAAGTCTTAGAGGTGCTTCCAGATTTGGAGAATTAAAGAACGGCAGAATTAGGAACAGAGGTGGTGACAGAGATCGGCTTGCTGTCAAGGAATCAAAAGGGAAGAAAGGAGAAACCCCAGATCCTCAATGCTTCAGCACCAGCTGGTTCGTGTCAAGGTCCTGTTTCAGACTCCAATGCTGGGAAGTCCCTCCTCTGAGCTTGTCTGTGTGGAGATGAGGTTCTGAAGGTGAACAGCAGTAACAGTGGTGCTGGCTGTGTGGGGACCATGGCACCGGAGAGGCCAGCACAGCACCTGAAACAATTAGGGGAGCCAGAGAGCGTCCCTGGCAGGGGCCAGCTGCATCCAGCACGTCAGCAGTGCTCCTGAAAGCCCAGTCTATTTTTTAATTAAGAAACAATTGTTCTGGTCTCAAGAAACCTCAAACATACCTACAGAAGCTAGAGGAACAGGTGGTAAAATGAAAATTGCAATTCAGTGTTACAAATTTAAAGCAAAGAAATCATTTCAGCTCCTCCCAGACTTCATAGGTTCCCAGATTAATGATTCAAGAGCTCCTAATTATCTTTGTGTATGAGAACAAACAAGTAAGCGTTCCGTAATTTGAGAAAGTAGCATAATTAAATTCTGAAATGATATTTTTCCATCCTTTACAGACTGGAATTCTGCTGGAATACAGACTGCACTGGGCTATCAGTGATGCCACATGGGCAGGAGGGATGAAAAAAGGGTCAGTAACATTCAGAAGAGAAGAACACACAAAGCATTACAACAGGTGGGTAGTGGGGTTGGGGGATGCAAGAAGATATATACACCTCTGTAAAATGGCATGCATCATAACAATCACATATTTGACAAGCCTACCCTGGTAATTCCTTTTCTCAAGGAAAATATCATACACAAACATTTCTGTATGTGACAGAGGCTAAAAAAATATCTTTTAGAAGGTGTCCAGCTGTGTAAGGCAAAACATTCAGTGGTAAGCAGGCATCCACAAGTTCAAATCCTAGATTTTACATTGCAAGCTCTTAATATTTGTGTGTAGCTCATGACCAGCGCTAGTCATCTGTCCCCTGATGTGAGCTATTATCAGTTGCCCATTTTGCAGATGAAATATCTGAGAAATTTCACTAAATCTTTCTGTACAGTGCTAGAAATAGAACCTAAGGTTTGGATATGACAAATCTACATTGCCGTCACCGTCACTGAAGCAAAATGGTAACGTATCTACTTGGCTGGATTCTTTTTAGCCATTAGCCACACCCTGCTCAGAGAGCCAGAAAAGATGCCAGGAAACCTGCTT